CGGCGGTGGATGCCACAGTGGATGCGGCGGTGGATGCCACAGTCGATGCCACGGTGGATGCGGCGGTGGATGCTGCTGTCGATGCCGCTGTGGACGCCACAGTGGATGCTGCTGTGGATGCCGCTGTTGATGCTACAGTGGATGCTGCGGTGGATGCTGCGGTGGATGCTGCTGTGGATGCCGCCGTGGATGCTGCAGTGGATGCCGCCGTGGATGCTGCGGAGGAAGCAGCAGAGGAGGCTGCGGAGGATATTGCCGATGATGCAGCAGAGGAGGCTGCGGAGGACGCTGCCGATGATGCAGCAGAAGACGCAGCTGTGGATGCCGCCGATGATGCAGCAGAGGACGCTGCCGATGATGCAGCAGAAGACGCAGCNGATGCAGCAGAAGACGCAGCTGTGGATGCCGCCGATGATGCAGCAGAGGACGCTGCCGATGATGCAGCAGAAGACGCAGCTGTGGATGCCGCCGACGATGCAGCAGAGGACGCTGCGGAAGACGCTGCAGACGACGCTGCCGATGATGCAGCAGAGGATGCAGTTGAGGACGCTGCTGAGGCTGTTGATGCTGATGCAGTTGAGGCTGATGCCGTAGATGCTGATGTTGTTGAAGCCGATGCTGCTGATGCTGATGTCGATGATGCTGATGATACTGAAGCAGAAGCAGAGGTACTGGCTGATGATGATGCCGAGCTTGAAGCACTGTAGGTTGTCATCGATGAAGAAGCAGACGAAGTAGCACCTGACGATGCGCCTGAGTTCACCGTAGAACTATGTATAGCGGAAGACGAACTTTGGACCATCTTTGTGGTTGACGAATTCTGCACCATGCTGCTTGATGATTCGATTGCACGGATAGCATCAACAACATTTTCTGATCCTTCGTGTACTTCTAAATCATGTGTGGTATCTTCTGATTTGCGGGATGAGGAGACAGAGTTTATCACACTCTGTATTCCATGTGATATTAAAGAAAAGCCCATCAAATTAAGCAGCGATCGAATGAGTCTCTGTTCGTCACCTACAATACAATCGTCTTCTTCAGAAATGTCTCCACAGTTGTTTCCTTCGTCTTCGTCATTATACATATTTCTATAGAAGTCTCTGGAATAAGTGCTGTAGCAGTTGCTGTGATTGCCAAAGCTATTTTGATCATTCTCATCAAAGATATCTAAGGCACGCGATAGACCCTGCGCTGACAGTATTGACAGTCTTGGGTGATCTTCTATTAAGTTCGAATAGGAGCTTTCATTTTCTGCAAACCGTACAATCTTGGTACCTCGATCTTGGTCCCAAATATTCAAGTCATCTTCACAAGTTGAGGGTGTTCGTTCTGTAACATGATCGAAGTCCGTATCGTCGTCATTTTCTTCTTCATCACCCTCATCGAGACTAGGAAATCGACATTCTATATCACTCTTGAAAATTAGATCACGCATGGAGATGGTTGTTTTTTGTTGCTGCAGTTGATCGTACGGCTCCTGGTGGTGATCTTTTCTAAATGATGATGGACGAGCTGAACAACTGTTTTTCTGATGCGAGAAAGACGCCAATTCTCTTGGGAACTCTCCAACCTCATTTTTCACAAAGGCAGCCGTATTCTGTGATTTTGTGTCGGTGGAGCACGAAGCAAAAACATCCTGCGAATTCTCAGGTGAAATTTCGGAATAGTTGATAGTGGAAGACGCTGCATCCAAGAAGCGGGAATCGTCGTTGACTTCCTCCTCGACCATGATAATGATTTCATTCCTGTCATAACGCTATGTTTTGTAAACCGACTACCGGCCGGTACGATGTTCATCTCTGGATCCTTTTATCGGCACGTCGATGTGGTTGTTGTTGATCGCTGCATATCTACGAGTACGAGTACGGTACCGGTACGATTGCCGAAGAATTTACGTAGTAGTGGGAGTTTCTAATTTCGTATCATTGAAAAACGTTCGCAAAATGATTACGAAGAACGTCACGTACTGTATTGGTTTTTGAAATAGGGTTCAACGGAAATGACAGCAAAAGATGAATCATAATTATCGAAACTAAGTACCGGTACTTACGTACAGTACGGCATATGGTTGACGAACAGCTCTTTGACAAGTTTGAGAAACCGATACTGTATTTTTTTTAGTTTTTGATAGAAGTATTCTATCTTGGAATTAGTATTCTTTTGTCAAGAGAAGGTAGTACTTGCACCTTGCTGTACGGTAGGTGTTCTTGTCGGAGCATTAAATACATTTTGTAAAACTTATTTACTACGCGTTTCGTAACAATTGAAACCGGCCTCGAAAGAGAGCGAAAAGTAATAATTTCAAGTTCTAAACTTCCATTTGAAGTTATGAACTTCAAAATGTCCCAGTAGAAAGTCTACGAGGTTCTACTGAGCTAGTTTTTAGATGGCATTAATGATTGAAAGGCCAGGATTCATAATTGAAAGGCCAGGATTCATAATTGAATCACCTTGAACCATTTTGTTTTGTTTTGAGGGGAATCGATTGGGTCATTCAGTCATTTTAAAAACAAGCTCAGTAGAACCTGGAGAGGGACCGAAGGGACCATTTTTTAAAATATTATCGCGCATTCCGCGCGATTATAAAATATATAACATTAATATAACGGCTATCATAAGTGTGCTGTTCGCCAATTGGGGGATTAAAATTATTCAATTAGGGGGAGGTTCTACGGAATAGGATTTTATTAAATCTGACGTCAGTTTTTTTGTGGGATTAATTAAATTTAATTAATGGAATAATTAAATTTAATTATTGAATTAATAAAAATTTAATTATTGAATTAATAAAAATTTAATTATTGAATTAATTAGTATAGTAATGTGACTGATTTTCCAACAGCAGCAGCAGCAGCAGCTACGACGAGCAGCACAAGCAGCTAGCAGTAGAATAACACCAACAACAACACAAACAGGAGCACCATGATAGATCCAGACACGATCGAAGCTATTATACGAGATATTGTTCGATGGCCAGATGATAGGGAATGGAATAATAAGAATAAAGAAAGTCGGATAGCAGGCCTGTTTGGTGCACCAAGTACAGTTATTGCTGATTTATGGAACCGGATTGAGCCGTCTCTGCTTGGAGACGCTGAACCGAAACACCTCCTTTGGGCACTGCTATTCCTTAAAGTGTACGCCACATCCGAAGAGGTCCACTGTTCGATAGTAGGATGGCCCCACAAAGATACCTTTCGAAAGTGGTCCTGGTACTTCCTGAGGAAGATCTTCGATCTTCAGACGGAGGTGATTGTATGGGGGAATAGATTCGTTGGTCAGCCTCAATTACCAACCGGGGAGTACTTGCCACAGGCAGATTGCATGATATCTGTCGACTGGACTGATTGTCCATGCTACGAGCCTTATCCATTTAGCACTGACATGTATTCAGAGAAGTTTAATGAAGTTGGAATTTGTATTGAAACGAGTTACATCGTATGGATTAACGGCCCCTTTCCTGCAGGCACTTCAGAGAAGAGAATCTTTGACAGTGAGCTTGCCACAAGGCTTGAGGAATGGGAATTGGTTGAAGCGGATAGCGGACTGAGGGGAACACATAAAGCAAAGACACCAAATCAGGGGATTGATAAAAAGCAAAGAAAAGAAAAGTCGATCATCCGGGGACGCCATGAAAATATTAATGGGAGACTGAAGATATTCAATGTACTGAATGCTTCTTTCCATCACACTGAAGGCAGGGACAGGGACACGATGATAGGAAAACACGGCATGTGCTTTGCAGCTGTTGCTGTGATCACACAATTGAAGCTTGAGCATGAAGGGGGTCTTTATAGTGTCGACTACGATGTTCGATACACATAGGAAGGAGCCTAAACAAAATATAACGCTTCTTCTCTAGCAACAAATTGTGCCGCGCCCCCTCTTTGCTAACCACCATTGCAATAGCTCTATTCCTACTAATCGTACAACTGTTGCTGTTCTGGAGGTCTCAGTTCATCCTGTTGCTCATGGTGTTCGTTTCCAAGCTGCGGAGGAACCGGTTTCTATTTTCACTTGCTGCAACGGATACGTACGTAATGTATTGGAGGGATACGTACGTACTGTATTGGAAGTATACGTACGTACTGGAAAGGAAGCATATGTACGTACGATACGATGCTCCCTCTGAATGGATGGATATACCATTCCTACCTACATATCATAATATACTATTCTTATATACGGATCATACGATTCATCATGTTGATGATCGTAAGAGGGCTAAGAT